CCACGTAGAAGGCGTAGCTCAGCGTCTGCGCGGTCATGACGCGCCTCCATCGTAGAGATTTTAGCACGCAGAACCGTGAGAGTATCTTCAATATGAAGTATGCGTTCGCGAACGAGGGCGACCACTGTAGCCTCGACGTCGGCTATCTTCCCAACGTCTGGGGTACGCGCCCCGATGATCGCGCTGGGCTTCTCCATCATCCGAGTTGGTTGGTCCTGATCTGGCGGTGCATCCACAACCACCGCTGGGAGCGGACCGGTAGTTCTTGGGGTATCTCGCCCATCTTGGCGCGGAGCTCGATCGCTTTGTGTACTGCTCGCGGCTCGAGTCTTGACGCCAGGAAGGCGGGTTTTTCGTGAATTGTTCATCGTGTGTCCACTCCTTCTAGGTCGGGAGACCAAAATGTAGTGCAGTGGACACACTCGCCTACGAGGTCGTAAATCTCGCTATGAGGGAAAGCGGTATGTCCAGTCACCACCAGGGTGTTCGGGGCCCTCTGTCCGTGGTAGCTCAGAGGTAACGCGAGAATCGCGGATAGAGTCGCGGTCAGCGCGTGAAGGGGTGCTCGGGATAACTAGAAGGAGTGGGTGTGGCGGTCGCGTCGCGGACCGCTATCGACAGCGTCGAAGAAGAACAACACAAGAAGGCAGAAGAAAGAAGGAAGGAGAAGTGTAGCGTAGAAACGTAGAAAATAAGGGAAAAAGTAAAGGAAAAACAAGAAAAAGGATGACGAGGAAGGGTGCAGGTACCAGACTTAGCCAACTAGATAGGAACCGTAGAGGATCCCACCAGAGATGGGGTCCGATCACCTGATGCCTGATGCCTCTTTACTGTAGCGCCTTCCGAGACCCGACCTATATAGGCCGAGCGCCGTCGTCGGCGTCGGTTATTAAATGGGTAATTAATAATTAATTATCGTCATTAATCTAATGCCAAGTGGCAATTCTAATTAGAATTGCCACTTGGCATTAGACGCTAATTAGCGTAGCAACTTGTGCGCACCACGTATGTATACGTGTCATACACGTGTTGTACACGTATCATATACATGTCATACGACTTTCATACACGTGTGTGTGCGTGTGGTACACGTGTGGCCACGTGTGGCACACGTAGGGTACCTTCCCAAGTGTGCGCGCACAGTACACGTGTCAAAGGCGGGGAGGGCGGCCTCCCGACGGCGGTGACCAGGGATAAAGGGCGCAGGGTCACTGCACTACACATGGGAGCTACTCGTTGCACGAAATGCGGAATTGCATTTGACATCCAGCGTAGACAGTGCACCAGCTGGCATAGTTCACCGGCAGTTTGAGGCATTTCCAGCTCCTGCAATGCCGATACCCTTGTAGGATCCATCTGCACGCCTTTTTCAGATATCAGACGCCCGCACCAGCGAACTAGTTTAATGAAGAACACGCATTTCTTGGCTGACAGGTAAAATCCGTACTGCCGGCACAGCAAAAAAACTGGGGCAGTTTTTCGAGTAAGGACTTTTCTCCTTTGCAGTGCAGAAGAAAATCATCAAGCCAAGCTTTGGCATTTTTTCGCATGGACCTGAACAATGGTTCGACTCCGCTCTGAAAATTCGCTACGGAGTTCACAGCACCTTGTTGCGTCCTCGTTGGAGAGTAACTCCATTTTGAGGTGACGATGCTATGAATACTTTGCGATTCTGCATGGAGCGGAAGTTGTCAGTAACCGCTAACAAAATCAACCGTCGCAAAAGAGTTGCTGCCTGCGAAGTCGTATACTTCAGAATCCACGTGCGGCATCGGCCAACAGACCGATTCGGTAGCTGCATTACCAGCCCTTAGGTCCACTGTCATACAAAATCTGCCCTTGGGCATTTTAGGCACCAATAAGGGGGCGCTTGCTCATTGCGATTCTTCATTTTTTCGAACAAAACCCATGGTTTCCAGCTCGTCAATGTATTTTTCAAGGAACATGCGCTGGTCAGCCCTGTAGCGACGAGCTTTGGCAACGACCGGTCGTGCACCAGTCTTGAGTTTGACTCTCATTGGCGGAACCTTAGCTGGAGCGGTTTTGCCCAGACGTACTCTAAAAATTTCAGTAAACTCGCGCAGTAACGCCTGCAGTTCAGTTACGCCTTCAGAGGACAAACCGTTCGCCTTGGCTTCAGTCACTTTTTTCTGCAGAGCCAACTCCACTTCACCGGGCATGTCTTCCCCTGGGTCGATGTATATATCCTCATCGCTGACATATCCATCATCCGCATGCTGGTGGTGGTAGATGCCCTCTCGGATGAACTTCGCAAGCGTCCATTTCTGGGGCTCAATCTGAGTCAGCAGAATGTCGGGGACATTAACGATCCCGTTGTGCCTATCCGATGCTGCCTCGAGTATGGTCTTTGTGTCCAAGCCGAGTGCTTCGAGGAGCGGGCGCCCAATTAGAACGTGTTGCGCAGGTTGCTTACTGATAGCCCACTCCACGTTCCGGAAGAACAAGGTTGTTCTATGCCGTATGCGGAGCTCCACGTCCGCCGTTACAGTGCGATCGCATACAACCTTAGCGAATTCTTCGTGTCCTGGATGGTCCACTGCCAGAGCGTACTCCAGCGGAGTATCCAACGTCTTAACCTTCAGTGTGCTGTTGATAGATTTCAGTTTTTCGAACACATCAAGAGGCATCAGGTTATCATCTGCACATTTTTTTCTGCCAATACCATTACCTCAAGACTTTTGTGGAACTTGCCACTGAATAGAGTAGTATGGTTGTCCACTTGAGGACCACCCATCGACCGCATACCTCCATGATGTTTCAATTTTGGATGATCTACCATACTCTTTGCGCCATTCGGCAATGAGGTTGTTGCAAGCGGCGTCGTCGTCTTTGACAAATGGGAATTCCTTGATGAAATTCCTGATGCCATTTGCCTTGCACTCTGCATATAAACAGAGAGGCGTGGTTCTTTCTGGGCGTTTGTTGCCCTTTCCGTTCGAAGGCTTGCCTCCGAACGGCTTGCCTCCAGTGCAGATTTTCTCACCTTCGGGTTTCTTGACACGACCCCCTTTTGGCTCGCGGAGATCTTTTTCCCACTGGAAACACTGCGGCGAGAGTTCGTTTTCTCAACTATTTCAGCCAAATGAACGAGCTCTGCTATGAAGTATCTGAAACACTTCTTGTGTAATCCTTTCGAGTCCTGTTTTTCGAACTCATCTTCCATCATCTCTCTTAAGATCGTAGATCTGAGCCGATCGAAGATGTGCTTTATCGCAATTTTAGGGCACTCTTTTGGGAAGTTGCTGTACCCGGATGCTTCTAGAGTACGCTTGTAGTCCAGAACAAGGGAGTCAATACGCGGTTCGGCACCAGGGATGCTCATGCGGATGCACACAGTCTTGATGGCTTTCTCGACATCAGATAATTCGAAAGCCCCTTTTGGACGTTCACAGCGACGATTTATGCACTCGATAAGGTCTGCTTCGGTAACCTCGGCTACAGAATCGTGCTTGATATATTGACGATCAATGAACAGTTCAAGGACGTTGTGATCAATGGACGTCGCATATGATGCCAGCTGCATATCCACGCCAGGATCCTAATTCTTTTCCATCACCTCTCGTTCATAGCTCTCTCTTGCTTTTTTAAATTTGATGAAATGGAGACAAGTGACGTCTTTCAGGCGGGGTGCTTTGATGGTGGCAACAATAGTCTGGTTCTTGGTAGGTCCCGAAGACACCAGGTCGTCATTTTCAGGGCCTTGTCCATCCAATTCATCGTTGACAAGATTTGACATAATGCCCTCTCCGTCAACGTAAGTCTGAAGATTGTCCGGAAAGATATATCTGTGGCAACTTCAGGGAATACGTTCTTAGAAAGGGCAAAGGTAGGGTAGTCCCTCTCTCTTTATTCATTCACCATCGGTGAACTTTTATCTCCTTCCACCGGCCATTCTCATGGTCCTTTCTTTTGGACCCAAAGGTCAGGTAATTCGAACCTTGCAAGAGTGTTCGGCCAAATTGTGGCTTTAATGCAACAATCCTCCACACTGTACGTGGAGGCCATTCGAGGAGGACGCAGACACATATCTGCGTACAGTAGCACAGGCGACCGATTGGCGGTCAGTAGACGGTCAGATCAGATGGCGCTACAGTCCGTATGCCTTCGATATTACCATTGTCAGCCCTCATTCTCCCAACAGTGGCTGGCGGTCACGGACCTCTGCGCAAAAGATCGTGCAGGCAGAGCGCGATAAGCACAAGACTTACGCTGATGTCTGCTCCCCCACTACCACCGTACAGCTGCACCCCCTGGCATGGGATATCTACGGGGCCTCAGGCCCCGGCACGCAACGAGGCCTACACATCGTTGCCGACTACAGTGCTGGCCAAAATGATAGGGACACAGGCTATTCGCGCTGTGGCAGCTCCCTTTTGCTCCAATGATAGAAGGAAAGAGGCTCTGTACACGTATTGGGCGAGCTAAACGTGATGGAAAAGACGGTTTTATAGAATAAAAAAGCCTTGGAGCTATAATGCAAAAACGTGTTTACGGCATGTCCATAATGATAGGGACAACAGGAACTAACTCGCGTTTTGGCGCAAAACGCAAACTGCGTTCCGCCGAAAGGCGTAAAGGCCATGCTAAGGCTATACTCGAGGGGTCTGCAGACGGTTGTGCAGAAAACAGTCGGTTGGTAGTTCGGAGAAATGGGAAGAGGCAAAGTCCTGAACGAGCACGAAAAGGGGCTTATCGCTGGTCTTTCTCAAGGCGGTAGAACCATTCAAGACATCGCTGCTCGTGTGCACCGCTCCAAGAACGTAGTTTCCAACTTCCTGCGCGCACCGTGAGAATATGGGAGAAAAAAATCGCCAGGAAGACCGCAAAAGGTATCCCCCACCGACAAGAGAAGGTTACTTCGGGCTGCTTCAAATGAAACAAAAGGCTCTAATACGCTTCGTCAGGAGCTGGAACTCTCTGTTGCCTCACGGTCAATCCGCCGCACGCTGCACAACGACCCGAACTTCCAATTCAAGAAGATGGTGTCGGCTCCAATGATGCTGCTCCGTCATCTTGTCGCTCGTGAAAATTTTGCGAGCGAGAAGCTGACATGGTGTCCTGCAGATTGGTATAAAGTCATCTGGTCCGACGAGAAAAAGTTCAATCTCGACGGACCAGATGGATTCGCCTTCTATTGGCACGACCTGAGGAAGGACAAGCGCATATTCTCGAGAAGGCAAGGAGGTGGGAATTCGGTCATGTTTTGGGGGGCTTTTTGTGGGACGAAGAAATGCGAATTGGTGTTGCTCGAAGGAAATCAGAACGCAGAGGACTACATACAGACATTAGAAAGTTATTTGCTACCGTTTATTGATCAGGAGCTGAACGCAGGATGGATATACATGCATGACGGAGCTTTTATTCACAGGGCACATCGGGTCAGGCAGTTTTTTGAGGAGGAAGAGGTGCCGGTTATGGACTGGCCGGCAAAGTCCCCGGACTTAAATCCTATAGAGAATCTCTGGGGTCTGTTGGCACGTGCTGTATACGCTGGTTGTCGTCAATTTGACAACGTCGAAGAGCTTAAAGAGGCCGTTTGGGAAGCCTGGGATAACATCACCACGGACATACTGAAATCCCTTTTGGGGTCCATGCAACGACGCTGCACGGACTGTTACCTTGCCAAGGGAGGTGCTACGAAGTACTGAGGTGAATATTGCGCATACATGGGGTCCAGATAATGGGGTAGAGGTCTTGTCCCTATCATTATGGCCATGCCGTAAACACGTTTGGCCTTATAGTTCCGAGGCTGTTTTTTGTTCTATAAAACCGTTTTTTCTATCACGATTAGCTCTCCCAATACGTGTGCAGAGCCTCTTCTCTTTTATCATTGGAGCAAAAGGGGGCTGCCACAGTGCGAATAGCCTGTGTCCCTATCATTTTGGCCCGCACTGTACATTGCTATTCGCACTGGAAACTCCGCACTACATGAACGGTTGCGCCGCAGCACCATCCTTACTTCCCTCGTCCTCCAATATACGGCTTTATCCGTTAACAGACGTAGGATACAGCTTACACCAATTGCTTGAGGTACCCTAGGTTGGCCCTAACGCTCTTGCATAGGGCCGCCCCTGTACTTTCTCCATAAAGTCGACCATTCAAAGGTAGTGAGTGGTGTTGTGCGGTTAGAAGCTGAAGTGGTACATGAATAATAATGATGGTGTCCTTTCCCGTCCTCATTCTTATAAAGAGAGATTACTGTACAGAGGCTGTCAAAACTCACGTAGGACTCACGTACAGCTTGTTTCGGACGTCCTGTTCACAGGAAACTCCTTTTGTAAAACTCACATGAGTTTTGTAAAAGGAGTTTTTCGAAAATATTTTGATGCGACTCGGCGGACAACGTTATTGTAAAGTAGAACACATCCGGAAATATGAGGCTCCCACATTAAGATGTGGATATTTCTCAAAGACCTAGGAGTTACCAATAGTATTTAGTAGTTACTGTGTGCACCAAACAATTCCGCAAATACGTGGGGTATTGCAGGAATATCCCATATGCTAATAATGAAAGCGAATTTATTAAAGCGATGATGCTTTGCGTATAACAGCATGCTAACACAATATTTACTCTGGGCTTTCAGTAGTTTGATTTGCGCGGAACCTCATATCAACACGTCTACGACTTTTCTCATGATAGTTCGCCTGTACGCGTCTGCGTTTTTCGATTTGAGTTGAACCAATCTTGTACCAACGATTGGTAATCTTATGGTACAGACGTCCGTCATCTGCCCTAAGGGGATTCCACCGAATATGCCAGTTAGTCAGCCCCATGCACAACATGAATATAGAATCATATATTTTCTCTGACCATTTCCATTTTGACCCCACAACGTTCCAAATGCCCAACATCCTCCCAAAATAATTTTCCACCAGTACACGGTCGCTTGAAATATATCGATTCTCTGCAACTTGTGCTGGTGACAGAACACCATTACGCGGCTTCTTAGTCGGATGGATAGCACGACAGAACTCCTTAGAACCTTGATAGCCCTTGTCTAATAAAATCCCCCATGTATGTGGAAATTCGTCTTCCATTGGACCATCATCCTCCAGCTCCAATTCATCAGCACACTTTTTCAATTGCTCCTTGTGAAACTGTCGCATGTCCTGAAAAATGCGAAAATCAGATACAGAACCAGGCTCGTGGGCACTACAGCCAATTGCCATCCCATTTGGCAAAACGGATGCCTCAATTTTGTATCCATACAAGCCATGTTTCTTGCTAAAGTACAGCTTACTCTCGCTCAAGTTCCTGCTTGGGCGATTTGATGGCTGGAATGTCACGTCGGTGGCATAGCGGGCCATCGGATAGTTGCGAAACAAAGCGTTGGTATCGACCATCTTTTTCATACTCCATTTTCTGGCTTGATGGGAAACGTAATGCTCGTATATTGGTCCGGATATTATTGCGACAAACTTTAGAATGATGCGTTCAAATGTTGCCGCCTTCATATCGAACATCTTTCCCATGAAATCCCACTGCGATCCATGCTTTAAGACGGCTAGTGTCATGAACAGCACATCCTTGGCGGTCTTGTCACATTTCCGTCCTCGTCCGACATTATATTCGGACATTATGTGCCCCTTAAACGCCTCCCAAACCCCTTCAAATTGCATTGGGGAGAAGTTAGTCATCTCCCTGATACCTTCTGCCCCGCCCTGATCATAAAAAGTGTCCATGATGAGACACTCGGAACCATTTTCTTCGTCAGTGTCCTCTTGGAGCGGTTGAGACAGCTGTACCTCGAGTTCCTTCTCTCTCTACCGCTGCATCTGCGAGTAGAGAGAGGGCAGTAGCTGCGTTAGTTGAAGTAAAGGGAGACATGGGGAAGGGATTTTGATGGGGTGGGGTGTGTACTTTGAAGAAGACCTCTGTTCTTCCGAAGTTACTGTATCGTTTTGGAAAAGAGCGGGAGACTTCCTAAAAGACGGCGCAATTTGGATATTACGGAAAGCGCACAATTTGACTTCGTAATTGTGGGGGAGATTTGGGGTACTGTACAGGGTACAGTACCCAGGAGTGGCCCCAGGACCAAAGCCTTCAAAAGATGATTTTATTGGTCTACGTGTACGCCAGGTGTACACGTGGACAATCTCCCTTTGAAGGGCGGCGGTCCTGAGAAGTGGAAGATGCTGGCGGCCCCTCTAAAAGAGAAAGGGGCGCGCCGCGACACCCCGCGACAGGAGGGACACAACAGAAAAAACAACAACACCGGGACCGACGCCCTCTTGAAATAAACATCTCGCTTTTCTCTCTCCCCTACGCGCGCAGCCCCCTTTTTTAGCTGTCAACATGGTACTCTTGTGGAGGGGTGGCAAAGAAGACGGCTCCCTGTCACAGTTTGACGGGTCGAAGCCGGCCGACGTTCACAAGTTCTTCTTCGTCTTCGAGAATGTTGCCACCTCTGGCAAGTCGGACGAAGAAAGGGCATCTGAACTCCTTCGCTACATGGAGGGAGATGCATTCGACTTCTTTAATCAAGCCTTTGTCAAGAACGGAGATATCAGTGCAGATGGCTCCGACTACCAGAGGGTCAAGAAGGCCTTGGTCGAGCGGTTCGCCCCGGTTGAATCACCTGAAGATGTGATTCGGGATGCAATGGCCGCTCGCCTTTCTTTCGGGGATCTCAGTAGGTCCCTTCGAAACTCAGACCGTCACTACGAGAAGGCGGGATTCAACGACGAAGCGAAGTTCGGACTGCTTCGCAACGCCGTGATGGAACATCTCGAGTTGGCCCAGTTTGCCATCTATCGAGGTGCGAAGACCTACAAGGCCCTATTCGACGCAATCATGGACTTCTGGTCTGGTCGCTGCGCCTTTCAGGCGGCGGCGAACTCCTTGAGCAATTCGCGCTACCAGGGGTCAGAGAGCTCGCAAGTTATGTATGAGCCGAAAGGGCAAGGTGGGTCAAAAAGGGTCATGATGCGTTCAAAAGCTCCCTTGTCTCCACTCGAGACGAAGGTTGACGCTTTAGCTGATCGACTAGCCGATATTTCCCTTATTATCAAGAAGAATCAGTCGAGGGATGACGCAACAGCATTCCGCCCCGCCCACGATCGTACTTGTTCTTATTGCAAACGACCGGGTCATGGCGCTAATAGATGCGATGCGAATCCGCATAGGGACACGAAATGCCCTCGCTGCGGAAAATTTGGTCATTCAGAGACAAGCTGTTGGGCTATAATTGGTCCACAGAGGGGAGGTAGCGGTGCCTACCCTCCTAAGAAGACCCAGACGGATATTGCCGTGTCGGGTACACGGACGGGCTCCGCAGGAACCAGGTGAGTGTTGTGACACACGACGACCTCCCTGCTGATGAGAAGTTAGTGGCATCAGTCAAGAGAAACGCCGATGGAGAGCCGGTGGCCAAGACGCGAAAGGATGGTGGCGGCGAGCCAATCCCGTCCCTTCTCAACCCACGTAAGTACTGGACTCCGAACCACATGAGGAAACCTCCTAAGCCCGGCCGTCGAACAAGAAAGAAGAGGAAAAGTAAGAAGAACGCCGTCCAAGAGCACTCGGGGAAGTACGATGTGGTTTCTTCCCTCGCGAACGCCCCCTCTGGTTTGACATTCGGTCAACTGATTCGAGGAGATGGCGACGAGGCTAAGAAAGAGATCCGTCGTTTGTTCAACAGTCGCCCTAGACGCCGCGTAGCTGCTTCGATCGGTACTTTGCCGAAACGTCTGAAAGTAGTTTCGGTACAAGTCTACGGGACACAAATGAGAGCGTTGTTAGACTCAGGAGCTATCCCTAATGTTATGAATGCGTCTGTGGCATCGAAGCTCTCTCTGTCTCCAAAGCCGACCTCGACGAAGATTACGGTCGCCAATGGACAAAAGACAACCTGCTTAGGTTCCATCGAGGAAGTTCCTGTCACGTTCAATGGTGCTGTTACTTCACTCAACTTCTTGGTTGTTGAAGGATCCCCAGTTGATATCTTAATCGGGTATCCAACTCTCGAAGAAATTCAAGCCTGCATCGATCTAGGTCACCAGTCTGTTAGTATGTTGATCGGAAACGAAACCGTGAAAATGAGTCTGGAGTTTGATCAAGTACGTCCCATTGTCGCGGATTCGGAGACTGATAGTGTGGACTTCACTTCTGATGTCGAGTCGTTCGCCTCAGAAAACTCGTCGGAAGAAGAGACTTATGTTGTCGCCATCCTCGGCGATGAACCTTTCGAGCTAGACTTAACTCTGGACGGAGCGACCGGAGAAGATGAGGAAGTAGAATCACCTGATTCGAATGTCATCAACAAGGCCGTGAAAATGCTTCGGGAAAAACTTGTGCATCTTGACAATGAAGCTCAAGCAGTCATCGAGACCGCCCTGATGGATAACAGTATCGTTGCTACATCCCTTGACGATCTTCGGCCTGCTGAAGTCCCAATCAAGCACCATTTCGAGTTAGATGATACTAATCCGATCTATCACTCGGCGAGGAGAATGGCTCCCTTGCATAACGAAATCGTTCGGAAAGAGCTGGACAAAATGCTGGAAGCAGGAATCATCACGCCTTCCAGCGCCGCATGGTCCTTTCCGGTCGTCATCGTATCCAAAAAAGATGGGAATCCACGCTTCTGTGTTGATTACCGTTCTCTGAACCAGAAGATGAAAGCAGACAGATGGCCTTTGCCGAAAATAGAAGAGATATTTGATGACTTGGAAGGAAATGCGTACTTCACTTCTCTGGATTTGTTCAGTGGTTACTGGCAAATTCGGATGGCACAACAATGCAAAGAAATGACTACTTTCGTCTGTCGCTACGGGACGTATAAGTTCGAAGTCATGCCCTTTGGATTGATGAATGCGCCTTCGACATTTCAGAGAATGATGGATACAATCTTTCGCGGAGTGCGGTTTGTGCGTGTGTACCTCGATGACGTTGTGGTGTTCTCTAAGACTATAGAATAACATCTTCGCCACCTGCAGCATGTATTTGATGTGCTTGACGAGGCTGGTCTTAAGCTTAAGCCGACAAAGTGTAGCTTCGCCCAGGCGAAGATCAAGTTGCTCGGTCATGTTGTCGACAAAGGCGGGATTGCCGTTGACCCGAGCAAGGTCGAAGTGATTCGGAATGCACCGATCCCGACCACTGCGACTGAACTTAGGAGCTTTCTTGGGTTAGCAAGCTACTACCGTCGTTTCATCTGCAAGTTTGCGGACATTGCTGCAGTACTCCATGCGGCTACATCCGGAAACGGCAGATTGAAATGGACCGGAGAAATGCAAGAAGCCTTTGATGAACTACGCATAAAGTTAACTTCTCCGCCAGTCTTGGCTTACCCAGACTTCGAGAAGGCCTTCGTCGTTGAGACGGATGCGTCATCGGTCTCCGTCGGGGCTGTGTTGGCTCAAAAGAAGGAAGATGGGAAAATACACCCCATCCAGTACGCAAGCCGTACTATGAATACATCTGAGCGCAAGTACTCCGCTTGTGAGCGTGAGGCGCTTGCGGTCATCTTTGCTTTGAAGAAATTTCGTGTTTACGTGCTTTCGTCTACACCTTTCAAGTTGATTACTGATCACCAGGCTCTTAGTTACGCCTTTCGCAAGAAAGACATCCACGGTCGTTTGGCTCGTTGGCTAGACTTCTTAGCCGAGTACGACTTCACCGTGGAATATCGTCGTGGATCCGCAAATAGTGCAGCTGACTACCTTTCTCGCATTCAGCCCAAGAACGGCGACAACCCAACTTGCCAGGAAGAGGGAGACCTTGCCCTCGCTATCACGACCCCGATCTACTCTCCAGAAGATCTAGAAGAGTCTTGCCAAGATATCATGTCCTATCTGCAAGGCGAAACACCGGTTGGGTTGGATGATTACAGGAAGTCTCGCATGAAGAATAATGCGAAGAACTTTCTTGTCTGGGAGTCGAAGTTGCTCCGCCGCACCATTCGTGGCCTTCGTGTTGTTGCCCCAATTTCCGATCGCGAAAAGATACTGAAGGGTTTCCATGACGACATTGGTCATTGGGACTTGAAGACCACTCGTCAATTTGTCACGGAAAGGTACTGGTGGCCGACCGTTGGTATGGACGTGGGTGACTACGTGAAGAGTTGTGACGGGTGTCAGAAGGCACGTCCGATTCCCAGGTATAAGAAAACTTTGCGCCTTCCCATCACAAGCTTGTTTGATGTTTTCTCTATTGACTTTGCTGGACCCTTCCCTGTCACTTCGTCTGGAAATCGCTTCGTGTTGGTTGCGGTCGAACACCTCACAGGATGGCCAATTGCTCTATCCACTGCTGATAGTACTGCTCAAGTGGTTCTCGACTTCGTCAAGAGAGAAATCATGTACTCATTCGGCCCTCCGAGAACCATTGTCTCTGACAATGCTACCTGCTTCACAGCCTCGGCCGTTTCTAGCTTCATGGCTCGACACGGTATCACTTGGCGCACCGTCCTCGCCTACGCTCCCATGTCTAACAGTAGAGCAGAGAGAATGGTTGGAACTTTGAAGGCTGCCGTCCGTAAGACAGTTCTTGGTACTGGAATGGAGTGGGACGAAGCACTCACCCAGGTCCTGTATGGATATCGCCGACGTGCCATGAAGAACGGCGTGTCGCCATTCGAACTGATGTATGGGATCCCGCCTCGGATGGATTCCAGTGCAGAGACAGGTGCAAGCCTAGTTGTTCCTTCCTTAGACCATCATCGTCGTTTGGAGCTCCTGACTGGATCTGTCCCACGAGCAGTTCGCTCAGGGGCCTCTGTGGAAAAAAGGCTCGTAGCGTCGTCGTCTCACTTCTTCGAAGTGGGAGACAAAGTTCTTGTCGCTCGGGGAACTTCATTCGGTGGTACGAAATGGCCCGCGTTCGTTTCCAAATTCTACGGCCCGTGCCGGATCTTGGAAGTTCACCACCCGCGATATGTGCTAGAGTCGCAGCACGGCAGAGTATCCAGGAAGCCTATTCATGCTCGCCGACTCGTCCTATATCGTGAAAGGAAGTTCGAAGCCTAAGTCCTTTGTTAAAGCCTAAGGCTAAGTCTTAGGCATAAAATCGTTTAATGCATGTAGAGAATAGATGCAATTGCTATCATGAAACCCGTATAGGCAAGAAAAGAGAAAAGAGCGTGGCTATTTCGACTTATTTCTTTCAGCTTTCAGCTTGCGACGTTTGCGACGCTTAGTGGAAGCGCTAAGCGCTCTTGTGGTGGAAGCACGGACAAGACAGACCTTTCGCATTTCACGAATTTCGAGCAGACTAACTCCATCACCAAGACAGAGTTTCAAAGCTTGAAGGGAGAAGGGCATGGGGTACGGTTCCATACAATCCAATATGATGTGATCCTTTGAAGATACGCACACCGTATGCAACTTTTTCGAACTCCCCTCAAGCGTGACAACAAACACTCCCGACTCGACATCAAGAAGTTTGCCTATTGTTGGGACCGATCCGAAGGTATGCTCGAGAACTACTTCCTCTCGTTTGAGATGCTTGTTGGCATCTCTCAGATCACGAATACGTTGCGGAAGACTCCCATGCTGCACAAACGATTTCGAATTCTCCTTGAAGTGCTTCCAATACGAATCGGCGAGCTTTCGCGCGCCGAGAGCACGCATCGAGTTGCAAACGGCAGCTAGGATGCATAGATCAGTCCGATCTTGATAGGGAGTAGCACTAAGGTTGTGGATATGGAAAGAAGACGCCAAAGAGCTCTCTGAGCGGGCCCCGGAAGTGGATATTTGCCAACCAGCGCCCTGGATACTTCTGGCACCACTCATCAATGAGAAGGTAAGCTGACACGCGCTCTCTGCCGTTCGTGTAGAACTTGTCGTTTTGGATCTGGTGGCCCGAAGATTTGTTCCCACCACAGACTTGTAGGGTATACAGCAGAATGGGGTGCTTCGACTTATCGCATGCGTCGATGGCGACGTACTTATTTGCGAGTCTATCGTAGCAGATAGACTCAATATTCCAAGCATCATCCTCCACGTGATCATAAGAACGCTTATCGTCAATCGATTCAGTCAGCCCGACTCGGGAAAACTCATCTACCGAGACCCCGTGCTTTCCTCGCGCACTTAAGTGGATGACCACATGTCGACCGAAAAGGCGGAGCATTTCCGTCAAATCCAAGTCATACCTTGTCAGATTCGGTCCAACCCAAACATGGTACGGAAAACGAGGCGAAGCTTCTTCATTCTTCGACACCTTCATTACGTCCGTTCTTTGCGACAATAGCCACATTATCCTCTCACGAGCGTTGTGCTCTTCAACGGATACTCTCGCCGCCTTCGACGCGATATGTTTACGGGGCGCCTTGCCGCCAGTACTGCAGCGCGCCGTCTGCTTGGTTTTCGCCATCCTCGTCTACATCAGGTTTCTTGCAAGGGGCAGACTCGAGGACTAAAACCTCACCTGAGTCCGCCACACAAGCAATCAGCGATCTCTGAGACTGGAGGCAATTAGAACCTGACGCGTTGACAGGTTCTTCAAGAAAAAACGCAGGAACACCGAAGTTAGTTGTGTGAAAAGTAGAGAAAGTGGGTAGGTTAATGATAGAAGTGATAGCTTACAGTGATGATGAGCTGTACACGTGTATACGTGGAGCGATTGGGGGATTGGTGTCGATTGTGACACTAAATTGTGTCAAATGGGATCGTCAAGGTTGAGCGCCGGTTCCCTGACTCAAGCCGATCACCAGGAGCAGCAGCGGTCAGTATATATGTTGCCCCTGCCCGGGTGTGGGGCTGGGGAGGGGGTCGTGCGGGGGAGATTTGGGGTACTGTACAGGGTACAGTACCCAGGAGTGGCCCCAGGATTAAAGCCTTCAAAAGATGATTTTATTGGTCTACGTGTACGCCAGGTGTACACGTGGACAATCTCCCTTTGAAGGGCGGCGGTCCTGGGAAGTGGAAGATGCTGGCGGCCCCTCTATATGAGAAAGGGGCGCGCCGCGACACCCCGCGACAGGAGGGACACAACAGAAAAAAAACAACAACACCGGGACCGACCCCCCCTCTTGAAATAAACATCTCGCTTTTCTCTCTCCCCTACGCGCGCAGCCCCCTTTTTTAGCTGTCAACAGTAATCTCAATTCACATTGCTTGCAATCCAAAATATTTATAATTTGATAAATGGTTGAGTATGTTGGCAATGACAATGCCTATACCGTATCTGCGCAGGTGCGTACAGCATACAGTTCGTAAATGCGCATGCCCATTCTATTTGCACAAGTGGCCTAGTATGCATCTATTAATTGTACTGTACACCCACACATAAATTGCATCATCCATCCATGCACGCCCAACTGTCACACGTCGGCATTGCTTGCTCCGCATCACCACAGGTCGAGACTCAATCAAGTCTCATCTCCACAGGACCTTTCCACCGGACACCACCACGACAAGTCGAGACTCGTGGAGACTCATTAAAGTCTCATCACCACAGGTCGAGACTCAATCAAGTCTCATCTCCACAGGACCTTTCCACCCGACACCACCACGACAAGTCGAGACTCGTGGAGACTCATTAAAGTCTCATCAGGACCGTTCCACCGGACACCACCACAGCCCCGCACTTCGCCCACCTCCCCCCCCCCCCCCCCCCCCCCCTCTACTATGCGTGTAATGCTACACATGTTAACATACAAGTTGTATGTTGTATGAGACAACTGCAGAAAGTCTAGA